ACAGTGCACATGTACACGTCACCTTCAGGGTCAGTCCTCACAGGACAGTGCGCATGTACACGTCACCTTCAGGGTCTGTCCTCACAGGACAGTGCACATGTACACGTCATCTTCAGGGACAGTCCTCACAGGACAGTGCGCATGTACACGTCATCTTCAGGGACAGTCCTCACAGGACAGTGCGCATGTACACATCACCTTCAGGGTCAGTCCTCACAGGACAGTGCGCATGTACACGTCATCTTCAGGGTCAGTCCTCACAGGACAGTGCACATGTACACGTCATCTTCAGGGACAGTCCTCCTGGGACAGTGCACATGTACACGTCACCTTCAGGGACAGTCCTCACAGGACAGTGCGCATGTACACATCACCTTCAGGGACAGTCCTCACAGGACAGTGCACATGTACACGTCATCTTCAGGGACAGTCCTCCTGGGACAGTGCGCATGTACACGTCACCTTCAGGGACAGTCCTCACAGGACAGTGCACATGTACATGTCACCTTCAGGGACAGTCCTCCCGGGAAAGTGCACATGTACACGTCACCTTCAGGAACAGTCCTCACAGGACAGTGCACATGTACACGTCACCTTCAGGGACAGTCCTCACAGGACAGTGCGAATGTACACGTCACCTTCAGGGACAGTCCTCACAGGACAGTGCGAATGTACACGTCATCTTCAGGGTCAGTCCTCACAGGACAGTGCACATGTACACGTCACCTTCAGGGACAGTCCTCACAGGACAGTGCACATGTACACGTCATCTTCAGGGTCAGTCCTCACAGGACAGTGCACATGTACACATCACCTTCAGGGTCAGTCCTCACAGGACAGTGCACATGTACACGTCACCTTCAGGGTCAGTCCTCACAGGACAGTGCACATGTACACGTCATCTTCAGGGACAGTGCACACGTACACGTCATCTTCAGGGTCAGTCCTCACAGGACAGTGTGCATGTACACGTCACCTTCAGGGTCAGTCCTCACAGGACAGTGCACATGTACACGTCATCTTCAGGGTCAGTCCTCACAGGACAGTGTGCACATGTACACGTCATCTTCAGGGACAGTCCTCACAGGACAGTGCACATGCACACGTCATCTTCAGGAACAGTCCTCCTGGGACAGTGCGCATGTACACATCATCTTCAGGGACAGCCTTGCCAGTTGACCACCATGAATGCCTGAAGTGGAGCTTTGATTGAAGTGATAGACACTAGTCTTGACCCCAAAAACAGAAGAAACATAGGGGACAGTGTCCCGGACTTGATTCAAGCCCTAGGACTAACTGTAAAACAAACAAAAAAACAAACAAAAAGAATTCATCTTCTGAATTTGAAGGAGATGCAGTTCAGTCCATTGAAACTTCCTACACAGTATACACTCTTCAGGAATAGAAACAAGTTTCAGAGATACTTAAATGGATAGTTCATATTTATAGAAAGTAATATTGTAACTCCCTTTATACAATAAATATTAAAGAATCTCTTTGGATTACCTGGAAAATAGACAATAGTTTCATCCAGTTTTCTTAAACAAATATTAAAGGTATTTTTCTAACTCATTTTGCTGAAGATGATGAATTATTATCATATTCCCTTTGAAATATTAAGAATACTCAAGTTATCTCAATATTATTCCTGGAAATACTAAATGTCAATAATGTTATGATAAAATATTATAATCTGATAAGGATTTAAAAGGAGAACTATATTTTCTCTGATATTGATATGTATATATATGTGTATATACATATATATATACATATATATATATACCATTTTGCTATCACTGAGGCTCAGATGATAGTGAGCGACTCTGCTGGGGATGACTGTGAGGTGGTCTCACTGTCTGCTGGGGATGACTGTGAGGTGGTCTGACTGTCTGGTGGGGATGACTGTGAGGTGGTCTGACTGTCTGGTCGGATGACTGTGAGGTGGTCTGGCTGTCTGGTGGGGATGACTGTGAAGTGGTGTGGTGGGGATGAGTCGAGGTATCTGGCTGTCTGGTGGGGATGACTGTGAGGTTGTCTGACTGTCTGGTGGGGATGACTGTGAGGTGGTCGGACTGTCTGGTGGGGATGACTGTGAGGTGGTCTGACTGTCTGGTGGGGATGACTGTGAGGTAGTCTGGCTGTCTGGTGGGGATGACTGTGAGGTGGTCTAACTGTCTGGTGGGAATGACTGTGAGGTGGTCTGACTGTCTGGTGGGGATGACTGTGTCGTGGTCTGTCTTTTGGGGATGACTTGAGGTCTGACTGTCTGGTGGGGATGACTGTGAGGTGGTCTGGCTGTCTGGTGGGGATGACTGTGAGGTGGTCTGACTGTCTGGTGGGGACGTCTGTGAGCTGGTCTGACTATCTGGTGGGGATGACTGTGAGGTGGTCTGACTCTCTGGTGGGGATGACTGTGAGGTGGTCTGGCTCTCTGGTGGGGATGACTGTGAGGTGGTCTGGCTGTCTGGTGGGGATGACTGTGAGGTGGTCTGGCTGTCTGGTGGGCATGGCTGTTGTAGTGTGGGTTGACTCTGAGTAGTCTGTGGTGTATGCAGACTGGGTCTTCCATGCTCTATTGTCTGGAGGCTTTTCTTATAAGCCTTGAGAGAATTTCTTGTAGGTTGGTCCCTGCTGTTTCTTCCTTTCTAGACCCTTGAAAATGCTGAAAGTGGTGACATTGATTAAAACATATGGTATTCATAAACTTTTGTTATATTCTCCTTTTGCAATTACTTTCAGAAATTAAAATAGCTACATGTGTATTGTGCACTTTCCTTTTTTCAGATAATATATTTGAGCTTACATTTCCTTTTTTCTAAAGCACAGAACTGTGACTCTTCGGCGACAGCCCGTGGGCGGCCTGGGCCTGAGTATCAAGGTAGGGCAGAGCTTTTCTCCTTCCTCCCTTGCGCCCGGGAGGTGCCACCCGCCAGCCCTTTGACCAGCTTCTTCAACGATCTCTCTTTCAGGGTGGGGCTGAGCATAGTGTTCCTGTCGTCATATCCAAGATATTCAAAGGCCAGGCAGGTAAGGGTCGCAGCTGGTGGTCAGGTAATTAAGTATTTTAAGTGATAAAAAATGGTTTTTCCCTGAGAGGTGCTGCCCTTTTTGGTCCTGCTGGTCCTTCCAGCCTTAAGGGACGTATCGATTCCCTCTTTGATGCATCTACTCATTCTCCTGGGTACTGGTGACCTTCGTGGTTTGAGGGTGTAAGGCATGTTTAAAAATTGGGGGGGGTTAGCTACTGACAGAGGGCTCAGTGGAGCACTACAGTCCGTGAGTATCAAGGGTAACAAACCTACAGCAGACTGCAGACCCAGGGAAGGGTTGAGCATGCCACCGCTCAGTGTCCGGGCGCTGTCATGATCCTGTAACTGCCACTCTGTCCCTCAAAGAAGCACTGCAGGGCAGTAGACACGGAGACTAGGGACAGGAGACGCAGGGCCTCAGGTGTCCAGTGGGTTCGGGGCAGAGGCAGAAGTTGGCGGTGTCCCCGTGTGAGTTCTGCACACGAGTGGAGCGTGGTCTTTCTCCCGCGTGTTTCATTAGCATCAGTTGCTGTGTGAGGGGGTTCATTGTGATTTGCCTACATGGACAGTGTTACAGTCAGTCGCTCCTCACCACCTCCCCCCACGAACCCGGAAAACCCCGTTTTCACAGCCGTGTACGCGGCACCTTGCCCTTGCTCTCCCCGTCGGTCCCCTCGCACCAGCCCCTGCCCACAGCACCTGACTTGCTTTGATGGAGGTTTGATTGAGATTTTGCTGTGGTATCTCCACAAGTTTATGCTGTATTCCGATCCGTTTCACCTCCTCTCTCACAGTCTCGCCCCGCCAGCGTTACTAGCTGCAGATAACTTATTTCAGCAGTCTTCCACATTCTTCTGCCTCCCTTAGCCCAGGGCCCCTCACCAGACCCTCCCTGCCGGGTCTGATTCCTGCCCTTCCCTCCACCCGCCAGCAGTTTCGTTGTCCTTGTATGTACTTGAAATGTGTTACACAGTTTGGCAGACGCTTCCTCTTTCCATTCTCTCCTCTCCAGCTCCTGAGTACTCGCAGCTTCATTCGAGGACTGTGTTTTATCATCTAAGTAATTACGCATGTGGATAGATTTAGACTTATGTGCCTGTCCAGGAATATAAATACCTCGCTTATATATATATATATTGGTTTTTGAGCTTGGCTTGTCTCAGTATGATGCTGGCTGTCTAGTTGTGTCCATTTTCCTGCAAAGGATAACATTTTATTTTTCCTTATGGCTATGTAGCATTCTAGTGTGTGTGTGTGTGTGTGTGTGTGTGTGTGTGTGTGTGTGTGTGTGTGTGTGAGAGAGAGAGAGAGAGAGAGAGAGAGAGAGAAGGGAGGGTGGGGGGGCCAGAGACAGACAGACAGACAGACAGAGATCTTCTTTATCCATTCATTTGTTGCTGGGAATCCTGGCTGATTCCATTATTTGTCTCTTTTTGTCCATTGTGACATTGTTATGATAAATGTGGCTATGCAAGAGTCTTTCTGGTGCATGGATTCACTCTCCTCCAGGTACAAACCATAGTGGAGTGGGAGGATTATAAAGATCTACTTCTTTGAGGAACCACCATACGAATCCCACCAGTCTACACCAGTTAACATTCCCACAGTGCGTGGAATCCTCGTTCCCAGCATCCTCTCCATGACACATCATTTTGTGTTCTTCATGGTGGCCATTCTGACCGGATGAGATGGGTCTCAGTGTTGCTTCGATTTGCATTTCCTTTATGGCCAGGAATAGCAAACACTTTTTTCCCATGTATTTCTTATGAGAACTGTCTGTTCCGTTCTCTTGCATTTGTTGGTAGGATTGCTATTTTCTTGCTATCTAATTGGTTTTTTTTTTTTGAGTTCTCATGTATTCTGTTGACTGGCTGGAGATTTTCTCTCATTCTATGGGCAGTCACTTTGTTCTGATAGTTGCTTATTTTGTGGTACAGAAACTCTTTAATTTGATATTTCCTCCTTTGTCAATGTTAGATGCCATGCTCTGGGTGTCTAGAATATTATTCAGCAGACATTGACGTGCACCTACATATTCTGGTGATTTTGCATACACTCTTGTAGTAGATGAAAGTTTCAGGACTTAGTTTGGTGCCGGTGGTTGGTCCAAGTGGTATTGATTTTTGAACAGGTTATAGATAAAGGTTCAGCTTCCCGATCCTGAGGGCAGATACCTAGTTTTCCCAGCAGTATTGGTTGAAAAAAACTGTGTTTTCTCTACTGTATGTTTTGGGCCCCTTTGTTGGCTGTAAGTGCCTGGTTTAACCTCTGGAGCTTCTACATTGTTTGTTGAACTTCATGCCTGTTTTTATGCTACCACCATGCTGTTTTGTTTCTGTGGCTCTCTAGTATAATCTGAAGTTTGGTATTGTGATATGTCTAGCAATACTCATTACTTAGTTATTGCTTTCGTAATTCAAGATCCTTTTGCCTTCATATGAACTTTTGTGGTAATGAATGTAATTCTATGAGGAATGATATTGGAGTTTTATAGGTATTCCACTGAATTTACAATCTGCTTTTGATGAAACAGCCAAGTCAGTGCGTGAGGCCCTGGGCTCGAGTCTACTCCTGTCACACACATAAAATATGAAAAAGGAAATAGAGGCGTAGTGATAACTGTCCATGGAAGGATAGGTTAACAATTAATTGCATGGTCATTCTTTCTGAAGTCTTTCAAGCATTGCAAAACCACATGTTAACCACATTGTTGTTACCTTGAAATGAAATAGTCCGATGGTGTGTGACACTCTGCGGGAGCTACAGGCTTCAGTGCACTTGAACAGAAATCCTGCAATAGCACGGTGTAATTCCTGCAGGCCATCTGGTTGACTGATTCATAATCGAAAGGAAGATTGCCCAAATGCATTGTTGGCTCCATCAATGATCTCTGAGAACATTTTAACTTCTTTTTCATTAGTATGTTTTTACTATTCGTGGATGTGATCCTGTCTCAGAAAAGAAAGAGAACAGGGAATCAAATTAAGAGAGTCGGTGAAAGATTGTGTGCCAAATTCAGAAAGAAAACTTTTATCTGTCCAGAGATGCACATGGGGCCACACATGGGTCATGAATAGGGGCATGCAGCTGAAGTTTTCAGGCAGGTGTGTGGAGAGAGAGGTCTCATCCCTGTACCCAGAGAGCCATGGTGTGCAGAGGGGGGGGGAGAGAGAGAGAGAGAGAGAGAGAGAGAGAGAGAGAGAGAGAGAGAAGAGGCCGCATCCCTATACCCAGAGAGCCACGGTGTGCAGAGGGGGAGAGAGAGACAGAGAGAGAGAGACAGAGAGAGAGAGAGAGAAGAGGCCGCATCCCTGTACCCAGAGAGCCATGGTGTGCAGAGGGGGGGAGAGAGAGAGAGACAGAGAAAGAGAGAGAGAGAGAGAGAGAGAGAGAGAGGAGGCCGCATCCCTGTACCCAGAGAGCCTGGTGTGCAGAGGGGAGGGGAGAGAGAGAGAGAGAGAGAGAGAGAGAGAGGCCTCATCCCTGTACCCAGAGAGCCATGGTGTGCAGAGGGGGGGAGAGAGAGGAGAGAGAGAGAGAGAGAGAGAGAGAGAGAGAGAGGAGGCCGCATCCCTGTACCCAGAGAGCCATGGTGTGCAGTGAGAGAGAGAGAGAGAGAGAGGGAGGGAGGGAGAGAGAGAGGGGCCTCATCCCTGTACCCAGAGAGCCATGGTGTGTAGAGGGGGGGAGTCAGGAGAGGGGGGGAGAGAGAGAGGAGAGAGAGAGAGAGAGAGAGAGGTCTCATCCCTGTACCCAGAGAGCCTGGTGTGCAGAGGGAGAGAGAGGGGGAGAGAGAGAGAGGCCTCACTCTGTTCCTAGAGAGCCGTGGGTGGGTGAGGGTGACCAGAGGGCCTGGAGCCGTGACTTCCAAACTGAGCTCTCAAGGAGGGGCCATGTCGTAAAATCCCACTGAGAAGGAAGTCCTTCGTCCAGCTGCCAGGGAACCTCCAGCAAATCCGGCACAGCAAGACCAGCACGGCCAAGCCCCTGGCGGAACGGACTCCATTGCTCTGCAAATACTTGCCTCTCAGGTTGAATTTGCTCACCCCCGAAAAACGTACCACTCCTCAGAGTGACAATGCCATGCAAATACTCATGGCAAGAAGGGAATGCATCGAGCACAGCCAGCGGCCGGAAGCACCCTCAGTTCCTGACCGAGTGCGCGCAGCACCGCACGCACCGTCCTGCGTGACAGCAGTCTTCACACTGTGCTGCCCCGTGCACTGCACTGATCTGCATGATTCTGAGACGTGGTCATTACCACAGTGCTAGCTTAAAACAGTCACTAATGATAGGGAACGCAGGAAGCGTGGGGCTTTGCAGAGTGAATACATTAATTATGAAATGCGTAGTCATTCCACATAGAGCATGAATCAATCACAGAGTCAAGACCTTCAGAGCCACAGTAAAATTTAAAGCAGTGATGCGCATAGTGAAACATCAGGCACAGAGTGGCTCCAAGATGTCAGGATTGATGCACAGCAGCCCCTGGGGCCAGGGCGCCAAGCATGTGGCGGGTGTGCAGGGCGGAAAGCACAGCCTGCACTGCGAACGGGAGCATCAGGTACAGCTGGTGCCACCCAGAGCGAAGCATCAAAACTCTTCCAGTAATAGGAAGAAATATCAAGCACACATTTTGTGTTCAGACATTTAAAAAGAAGTGCATGGACACCCTAGCCAGAACCAAAGCGTCAAATCCAGCCGCCAGCAGAATGAGAGCGTCCGACACTCAGCCACTGCAAGACTGCAAACGCCAGCCTGTGTGAAGCACAAGCACTCGCACTGCTGGAGAGGCGCTGTCAGACACTTGGTCACTAGTCAGCGTGACGCAGATGGCCAGATGAGCGCACCCAGAATGAACACTCCAGCACATGACCACCACCAAGAGTAAGAAGTGGGGATAATGCCGGCGAGAATCCAGTACGAATCCTACAAAATGCAGGGGTGAGGGGAGAGGGCTGTGAGGGAGGGGAGGGGTGCTCATACACTGCCATGTTG